AAGCGGAAAGTGGGGATTCAGACCTAGGCTTGTCTCAATCCCATCTCTGACTGTTAAGCACTCTGGCTTACAAATGAAAACTTGAAAGTATGAGGGGTGATGATGGCCTGACATACCACACATACCCTGACCGGCCCTCTGGCCCCAAGGATGTGACACGGCTTGGGGCAATGCAGGTCTATGGAAGGCTGATGGGGTGGAGGAACCCTCTGGAGCTCTGTGCCCAGTCACACACCATGTGGGCAGCTAGTGGTGGTGGCTGGGGGCCCATGGGCACTCGGCCAGCAGCATCCTGGACCTGGCTCCTTTGGGAGGACACAACTGCCTGTCCTTCAGCGTGACCATTCCTCTTGTTGTTCCCCTTCCAGGTCTCTCTCTCCTCCCCTGAGATCAGCGATGCTCACCTGGTTGCAGCTGAAACAACAGAAGTCACCTGAGCCTATGTCTTTTCCAAAATGCCTGAGGAGGCTGCTATCGATGAGTCTGCATCCGCATCCCCGCTCACCAGGAACCAGCCTGCGGCAGCTCCTGAGTCTAAGCTGGGGCTGGGTTGGGGATGGGGAGAAGGGACACAGCAGGATGGCTGGGACACGGTTCAAATCATGTGCCCAAGTTCCTGCTCAGTACCAAGCATGGCCCTGTCCTCTTGGAGCTCAGTTTGGGGGGATCCTGAAGCCTTTAGTCACATCGCAGACGTGAGGCTGGGCTGGTGTTCAGAGCAGGCAGCGTGGCCCGCCTCGTTTTCATGTGGGCAGCCTAGTCCCAGGCCCCACCACGTGTGGGGTCCCAGGCAGATTCTGACCATGGGTCCTGCTCAGGTGGACTAGGCCTGTCCCCAGCCAACCCACGTGGCATGGTTTTGGTGTCTACCACTGTGATTGCTCCCTCCCTCCCTTTCTCCCAACCATCTCCAATTCTGTGCATACAGGTGTTCCTTTTCTACTTTTGAGCACGGCTATGTAGTTTTATGTTTAATTTCTCTTTACTTTGCATTTGGAGGTAAAGGAGGACAATTCTAGCATGAACTTCATCTTCTATGTTGCCCCATTAGTCCTGGAATTCCTCACCAGTCTTCTAATTGCCCACTTAACAATAAGAATACATATCACAGGATTCTGGTCCTAGATTCATCCATCGCTAACCAGCTAGTGATGTGGGCAAGCCATTCCCCTCTCTGGACCTCATCTTCAGGTCTGTAAACAGTGGGAATCAGAGTAGTGAATGGGAAAGAGGAGGAGAGCAGCAGGATGCTGGAGATCAGTGACCCCACACTTATGCAGCGTCTGGAATTTAATCCTTAGCAAGAAGACTGGCTGCATCATCTCACCCACACAGGAGAAGAGGCAGATGATGTCATGGAGAGAGCAGAGAATTCCGAGTCAGAAATAACCAGGTTCTAGTCCCAGCTTTGTGCCTGCCTGGTTATGCCACCTGAAGCAAAACTTAACCCTTGAACTTCAGTTTCCTCATCAGTGACATGGGACAGCAATGTCTGTCCTCTCCACAAGGGAGAGAGGGGTGTTGCAAGGAAGTTGAGAGAGAGCGTGAATGAAAAACTTTTCAAACCTAAAGTTCTGTGTGCGTGCAAAACGTTATCATTTGCCACAGCTTGCGCTCCCTGGGAAGCAGGTCCTGAGACATGTGGAGAGTTTGGGGTGTCATCAAGAAGTGCCCTTGGGATCAACACCTGGAGAAAGAAGGGGGAGGAAGCAGGATGGGGCAGAGGGAGGAGCTGGGCTGCCATGCAGTCCCCAAAGCCTCAGCCAACCCCTTGGGGAGCTCTGGAGTTAAAGTGTCCCCTCAGGGTTGCCCTGTGTTAGGCCAAAATGGTTGGGCTCTTACATTTCCTCATCACTGGGTGACGGCGGCCCCCGGCAGGGCAGGACCGTGGGTGAGGCAGCTCTCAGTAGCTGAGGCTCCGCCTGACGCAGCTGACAGCCCTGCCGGCAGCTGGGGCAACAAGTCTCTTCTTGAAGGAAGATTTGGGCGCTGCACCCCCATGCCCACCTCTTTACTATTGTTAGCTATTCGGTCACACCTAACTGTCAGGCTGTCCCCATCAAAGCTTTGATATTATGGAGCCCCTGACATTCTGGGACTATTTGCCAGCTTTCCTCATGCATTCTAGATTAATGACTTCAGTCTTTACTTTCTGAGAAAATAATGGGAAATTTCTCTTCTGTCTACTGTGGGACCCAGAAAACTGTTCCATTTGGCAATGCCTGGGAGGGAAATGCCTGGGAGTTCTACTGGAACTGGCTATAAGCAGGACATAAAAAGCAGTGAATTTAATACTGAATTGATTTAATTAAAAAAGTGTGTATACATGAGGGTGTACACATGAGGATGCATATACATCTGAGTACGAGCACATGAGGGTACATTCCTATGTGAGTATATGTGTGACAATGTGGACAAGAGAGAGGCTGCAGGAGCATGTGTCCAGTGTAGCCACACCCACAGGAACCAATGGGTGTGCTTATGAGAATGTCAACTTGTGTGTGCAGACTTCATTCATTCATTCGTCAAACATTTATGAAGCATCCATAAAGTGCCAGGTACTCTGCTGGGAATTGTGGAATGGGAATAGAAAAGACATGGTTCCTGCCTCTGGAAGCTTATTGTCTCTTGGGGAGACAGACAACCCAGTGCAGGCATTTGGGGTTCACTGTGGTAAGTAAACAGACAGAGGGGAGCACAGGTGGCTGTGGGAGCACTGGGTGGGCACCACAATCACACTGGGGGGAGGAGGCTGATGGGGGGCCTTCCCTGGGGCAGACATCCTTGAGCTGAATCTGGGAGGGTGAGTAGAAGTTACTCAGGCAAAGATGATGGGGAAGGGAGCCCCAAGCTGATGAGGAAAACTTCCACCTGCAGAGAGAACTAGCTAGGAAGGAGTATTGGAGGAAAAGTGAGGGTGGGTCAGAGGACAGAGAGAGAGAGTAGTGGGGTGGAAGTGGGGTACAAGTAGGCAGATCCCTGAAGCCTTCGACTTGCAGTGAGGGAGTGAGAACTTGCTCATGAAGTGGGGGTGGGTCCTGGCAGCAGTGTGGGAGCAGTGGGGGCGGATGGACTGCAGGGCCCGGATGTGTGCCTGTGCCTGTGTTTATGAGAATGTATATACATGTACCTGTGTGTGTTTGCACATCTGGAGTCTGTGCACCCACACGGACTTGTTTTCCGCTTCTACCCTCCCGCCTTGGCAGCCCAGGGGGCTCAGAGGGATGGCTGTCCTGCTGCTGACTCATGGGTGAGTGCCATGACGGGGGAGCCGGCAGGTGTTTCCTCCAGAGCCACAGGCACATCCCAGCCCCCTGTGCTGGCAGTGAGGTGACCTGAGGGCAGTGAGTGAATACTTCCCTCCCCCAGCCTGTGCTCCTGGACTGCGCTGCCCTGTGTATGCAGAGTGCCCCACTTGTCTGGGTGAGGCTGAGCTAGCAGCCAGTGCCTGTCCCAGCCTGTGCATCAGGGCCAGGGGCACACAATGGTGACAGGCTGAGGGCTTACCATGTGTCAGCTTTCTCTTTCTGGGTCTCCCCTCTCTGGGAACCCACTCTTCAGGCACCGAAGTCATACATTTTGGTCTTAATTATCTAATAATATGCTTGGCTGTGCTATCCTGCCTCTTGCAAATTTAAGACCAATACAAAAAAACCCCCACATTTATTGCATTTATTTAGCCCTTAATGTGGACCAAAAGAAAGAAGGCATTTTGTTTTGCAATAAGAGTATAAGATTTGGGAACAGCATGGTAAATGATTATGAACTTGGAACTTAAGAGTCCAAATTTCAACTCTACACTTACTGGCTACGTAAGTTACTTACTCTCTCTGTGCCTCAGTTTCTTCATTTGTGAGACAGAGATGATAATATCTCATAGGATTAAATGTGTAAAGTACTTAGAACAGTGCCTGATGTATAATAAATATTCAGCTCTAAAGCCTAGCTATTATTATCTGGGTTTGAATCCTCTTAGGTTTATCTCTAACTCACTTGACGAAAAGTTGTGATCTCTTTGGGCCTCATCTGCAAAATGTTGGCCAATCTTTTACTCCCAACACCTGTTCCCCACCAACTTGCTCTTTTTATCTGACATGCATCCCTGGTTTTAAAAGATTTTGCTTGCCAAACTTCATTTGTTAAATACTACCCTAGGTGTCATCAAGGTTTCTCTTAGGCTTTATAAAATACTAGGAATAGCTCACAGTGCTCCTTGCCGAAAACTCCTGGATCAGGTGAGATGATCCCTGAGGGACCATCCCTTCCATTCCATTTTCACCTACTGGTACCATTTTAGCAAGAAGCAAGTGCCTTCAGATATTTCTGGTCCATAGAACAGTAACCAAGTTGACCCTGAACTAGAAGATGCTTCCTATTGGCTTCTGGAGTGCTCTGGGATCCTGCTGCCAATGTCTTTTGGGGTCACTGCACATTCTAGCCAACTTAAGAGAAGGCATTGTCCTGATTCCCTGACAGGGATACACTTTGTGTTTGGGAAATCCAAGGGCAAGTTGTTGTGTCTGGAAAGGGCCATTTTTATAGTCATTGATGCTTTGGTCTGACGAATCCTATGTGCTAGTACTTTCCATATACTAGCTCTTTCGATTTTCACAATAATCTTCCAAGGCAGTTATTCTCATCCCCATTGAGTAGATGATGAAACTAAGGCTCAGACACATGAAGTGTCCAAGTTCAACCAGCTAGAAAACGACCTCATTGTTTAGTATTTCTTTCATATATTAAATCATCTAATTCTTACTTCCCTCTGAAGCACTAATGGGCTCCATTTTATAGATGAGGAAACTGAGGCTTAGCAAAGTTAAGGGACTCGTCCAAGGTCACAGATCTAAGAATTAGCCCAGTGGGAATTGAATCCAAGTTTAATGCTCTTTCAACATCAGCTGCTGGCAGCAAACCAGCACCCCTGCCTTTGGCATCCAGGGGAGCCTGGAAGAAGGCATTAGTCCTTGGTGGCTTTTTCAGGTGGGGTAGAAACCTACCTTGGATGTCATCGTTGAACATGCAGTATTTGTTGCGGTATTTGTTGAGCAGGCGGAAGGCATTGGCATTGGCAAAGTCTTCAAACTGGATGAGGCAATTTATTCCAAACCTGTGAGGAGGGAGAGGAAAGAACAGATGATTGCCTCTTGGAGGCCCATCCCTGGCAGATCTCAGCCTGTACTGGGGAGTGAGGAAAAGCAGGCCAGCCAGTGGGCGTGTGTGGCATGGCTCAAGTGGGTTTTTGCCACCTGGATGCCTGGGCTCTGCCTGTCCCATTATGGATGAAGGTGGGGAAGGGACAGAGAAGGGCACTGGGCTTGGTGGTCAGCTGAGCCCACACCATTGTCTCTAATGTGGGCTGGTGGCTCCCATGAGCTATAAATGGCAGATACTCTACTGAAAGGGCTGAGATGGGGCCTGCCTTCTCTGTGTCCTGCATCCATCTGAAACCCCAGAAGAAATCTCACCCCAAACCCAAGTGCATGCAGAGAGCCTGGCTTCCCCACCATTGGGGCCTTGGGAGCCTCTGCAGCCTCCCAGTATCTCCCTGGGTGGATGGATCCTGAGGCCTGGAGTTCTTCCACTAGACACTCTTCTGGGTTCAGGCATTGTTCCCTAATAGGTTGCACGGAAGGCTGGAAAAAGCCACTACATTAATCCACTGTCATATACTAACACCTTGGAAAGACTGTTCCCCAACTTGCTGGTACAGAAGAATCAGTTAGTGAGCCTGTTGAAAATGCAGACCACCAGGCCCCTCACCCAGAGATTCTCACTCAGTGAGTCTGAGGCTGGGCTCAGGAATCTGCATTCTTCCCCCTCCAGCTTTACTGAGGTATAATTGACAAATAAAAATTGCATATATTTAAGGTGTACAATGTGATGTTTTCATATACGCATACATTGGGATTGCCATAATTAAACTAATTAACACATCCATCACCTCACATAGTTAGCTTTTTTTTTGAATGATGAAGACATTTAAGATCTCTCTTAGCAAACTTCAAGCATACGATACAGGATTAATTATTAACTGTAGTCACCATGCTGGATAGGAATCTGCAGTTTTAGCAACACCCCAGATGGATCTGATTCGGACAGTTTAGAGACCTCTGAGAAGCACATCCTGGGGGTCGGGGGTGAAGACAATGCCCACTAGGCTGCTTGAGATGCCTTATTTAAAATCTTCGCCAGAACTGTCTCCTATATTTCAAGGTCAGGGATAAGTCTGTATATCTTAAAAGATGACTGGATTTGTAACCTATTTCTCCCATTACACGGTCTGTGAGGAAGCTGAGAGCTCAGTTTTCTGCTCTTCAGAGGCAGGTTCCCTCAGCCTCGGCCTTCTGCACACACCTTCCCCTGACTCCATTCCTGCTCTTTGATCCTGGTTTTGATAGCTTTGTGGTATTGCGTCTCTTACTGGAGTCTTGCTGGAAGCAAGCGTGGTATGAATTATTAAAAATTACCTAATACATAGACAAATAGGTTTCATCTCACAGGTCAGTTTGTGACTAACAGCATCTGAGGTCATGTTCATTGAGAAAAAAGTGCCCTGATTGATCAGCAAGGAGAGTTGGGGCATACGATAGAGCCAAGTGGCCTGCCATTCCCAAACTGGTGTGAACTAGAGGCTTGGGATCAGCCTGGGACCAGCTGTGGAAAGAAACATTTATGCCCTTGCTAGAGTGGGTGGGGCACAAACTTCTGTGTGGGTTTCCTGTGCTATTGGGGGCATCTATCTGATGAGGCTGTTGGCTATGAGGGGGTGAGTAGCACTGCAAGGTCCAGAAAACATTTTTTCCAACCTCATAATTTTGTGCATGGCTGACCCGATATAGTAAAAATGCCAGTGAGCAGGCAAATATTTGCTCCTACCTTGGTCCTTCCAGAACCTTAGTGAGTTGGAGCTGTTGGTGGGGGGATGTAGAGATGGGAAAATGTTATAGGGGCAGAAATGGAGAGACAGAGACTTGCCACAGTCCAGGGGTAAGAGTTCCGGGCTTGGGGCAGGAGGCGTGTGGGGCTGACCTGGTTCTGTCACATACAATTGAGCAATCTTGCCCGTATCCCTTCACTTCTCTATTCTGCCTCAGTTTCCCCATCCATCAATGGGCACAATAAAATTTGCCTGGCCAACTTCTGTGGGCTGTTGTGAAGATTAAAAGCTGAGGGTGACTTTTGAATTGTAAAGTGCTGAACACATGTGTCATATTGGCCATAATTCTTATTCACACGCACAGAGCAAGTGCTTATGGGGTTGGAGGCGGGGCGGGGGGGAGGTGTTCGCTGCATCTCCTGACCCACCATGTACAATGGATAGAAATGATAAATAAAACCTTCTGGGCACCAATATAATGCTGTGCTCACCAAGCCAAAATTCACTGTGAATTTTTGTTCAGGGTGTGAATTTCAAGTATTTGGACTGGGACGGGGGAACAGAATGTCTTTGGTTGCTGGTGACATTTTGCTATATATAATCCTCACAAGACTCGCAGTGTTGCTCTACAACTGGCCTGGAGCTAAAATGCTGAAAAGGTCAGACAACAAAACAATGTGATGCACGTTCTCCTTTCTCTCTCTGTCTCTGTCACACACACACACACACACACTCTCTCTCACACACACACACTTGACCTTTAAGCAACACCACTCTGAGGCAAAAATAAGGCAAGAATTATAAATAAATACCTTTGGTTAGTGCACTATTATCCTCTCATATTAAATTCAGTTTCACATAAGAGAACCTCCTCTGGGAGCAATTTGCTGAGATACTGAGTAAAACCTCATTCATTCAGGTGACTGTAGCCCTGACTTGGAATTGCAGAAAAGGCTATGTGAGTCACCTGCCCACAGACTCAGAGTTCCTAGACCTCCTTGGATGTAAGGACCTCTACAGGCCGATCCACCTTGGACACCCCTCCCCAGGGCTGCTCCCTGGACCTTTCCTCACCAGGAACCACTTCTGTTCTAGACTTTCACACTGCCCATTTCAGTCTCTGACCACAGCCTCTCCATCCACCTCCCTCACTTCCAATATACCTGTTCTTTGTCTCCACTGGGACCTTTGGGCTCTTCACCATTTTTCCCCAATTCCTTAGCCTCTCTCTTATGGCTTTCCATGAAAGCAGACAACTATCCAGTCTGAATCAAGGGTGGTTACTTCAATCACTCTCTTAGCATCGTCCATCCATCCATCTGTCCATCCATCTGTCTATCCATCCATCCATCCATCCATAAGCATCTATTGAGTACCCTTGACAAGCTGATACCATAATTGTTCAATAAATGTTTTAGGAAGGGGTAGACACATGAAGGAGTTGGTGGAAATTTTGCATTGTGAGTTTGCCTGCCCACTTGTTAAACTAACTAAAAGCCAATTAAGCACAAAAACAAAATTTCAAAGTAAAAATTTAAACAGCTTAGGTGAAAAAAACTTATCAATTCATCCATGTACATTCAAATACAGGTAATGGACTTTCACCATAATATCAATTTAAATGTTAATTATAATTGTCATATATTCATCAAAATACTACTCCTAACAACAGTAACAAAAATAGCTAAACTTTATTGAGTGTTTATTACTTTCTGGACATCATGCCGAGCTCTTTACAAACTTTAACTCCATTAACCTTCACATGACCTTAGGAAGTAGGTGCTGTTTCAGAGAAGGAATCCTGAGCCACAGGTGCAGAAGCTATTTGCCCGGGGGTTATTTACTCTCCTGCAGCTGGAAAGTGGTGGAGCTGGAATCTGAATCCAGCTCTATCTGACTCTAGAATTTACCTTAGTTTAGTTTCAATAGCAGTATGAATTTGAAAAAGATAAAACTAAGTAAATGATAAACTTGAGTTTCTTTCTCCATCGAGAAAAATGGTGCCACGTGGTGAAGAAAACACCGAACAGAGAGACAGGAAAAGTGCCTTCTCTCTCTGTCTCTGATGGAAACTCTGAGTCTTGGGTGAGTCTCCTTTCTCTCTGGGTCTCAGTTTGCTGCTCTGAGAGTGTTGGAGGAGTTGCATTAGCTACTTAATGTAGGGTTTGAGTAGATACACTAGGAGCTTCACTCAGATACTTCCCCAAGTCCAAAGTAGGGAGGTCTGACCGTTCTGCCTTTCTGAGCAACATGTGACAGGAAAATCTTGAGTCAGTATTTCAGAGTCCTTTTTGAGCTGAAACACAGCAGAGCAGCTGAGCGAGCAGGGCCGAGGCAGCCACCCTCCAGGACAGACAGCTGCCCAGCAGCCAGAGGCCCTCTGAGCGCGCCCTACTCAGGGCTCTGGGCACTGCCCTGATTTTAGTGCTGGCAGCCTACGGCTGACCTTCTTTTCTGCCAGAAGCCACCCCTCACGCGGCAGGCTCCTGCCTATCTGTCCCCTTCTGCACTTCTGAACTCTTCACCCTGAAGCCCTGGCAGGGGCTGAGGAACATCTGATGCTTCTCTAGTGGAGAATTCCTGCAACGGATAAAGAGGCACCTCCCCAAGCCACACACAAGCTGCCCAGACGTCTCAACTCTGGGACTTGGCTGGGAAATGGCCTCAGAACTGCCAGGGAAGGCATTCCAAGGCCAGGGCTCACTTAAAGACACAAGGCTGATGGCTGGATGCTTACATTTCTTCCCCACACCCCCCCCCCCCCCCCCCCCCCCCC